CGTGGTAAGTCCTCATTGGACCCAATGAGTGGCGTGTCGTTTGGTCCAACTCACCTTTGGCCGGGTGATTTGGCGTCCGAGCATGGCGAAAGGAGGATATAAGGTGCAGTCATGCAAATTAAATACTTGTTCGGTTTGTTTGAAAGTATTGTTCGGTTAAATGTTTTATGTGCCCACTTAGCAATCGCATGATTAGTTACATCCGCATGCATCATTACATATTAATTTTTGGTTATTGGGACTTTTAAGTCTCATTTCCCGTGGTTAATATTTTTACAGGAGCGAGTCTGGCCGAGAAAGCACTAGAGGTGTAACTATGGTGTATGAGACACCATCTTTTACGTTGCCTCTTATTTTAGATTATACAATGTATCTTGTGTCAACTTAGGATATATCTTCTTTGTGAAGCATGTAAACTCTAATCCTTTTTATTAAAAGTATTGATATGACCAAGAGGATTATGTCTGTCCCTCTTAATTTATGATCTGATTTGAATATCATGACATGAGGATTATGTCTGTCTCTCATGGTTTTAATTACCTTTTTGAATATTTTAAGACTTGTGTTATATTTTGGATGTATCATGGTAAGAAAATTTTCTACCATAATAGTAGTTTTAATAATTTGTGAAAAATCGGTTTGTAAATTTGAAGATGTTACAAAAAACACAGTTTGAAGAGAGAGAGAAAGAGAGAAATAAGACAAAGTTAAATATGAGATGGGTGGGTCATAAACGTTAAAGAACTAATGATATTTTGGAAACCCAAATGTAAAATGTAGAGTCATCGTCTCTTGACTTGTATTGCAGACCACAATTCTCATGTAGAAAGCATATAATATTGCGGACCGGAGGGGGTATCTTATCTCTTGAAACATTGAGTTTTCATAAAAAAAGTATAATAAATCATGATGAGACAGTAGTTTGGATATTGTGAAAAATGGCATTGAGAAAATTTAGTTTGGAAAATTCAATTTAGTACAAATAATTTTCCACTTGCATTGGAAAAACAAATGTTTAAACAGCACAACTTGGTTTAGCTAAAATAGCCAAATTGGGTAAGACAAAACGGCACTGGAAAAATTTAGTCTAATAAAAAACAAATTTTTGAAAATGAACCTTTTTCGTATATCCATCAATGTGGGAAGTCTTTTGAATCCTTACCAATTTAGATCAAGCTGAGCAAGACCACAATGGAAAAAAGCCTTTTCTATTAGTATTTAACATAATTGTATGCTCTAAACTCGATTTTGAAATTTCTAGATAAACAAGTACAATATTTAATATTTGCTGTGCCACGCAATTATTGGTTCAAAAGTGAACCTTCTACTTGTGTTGGAAAAATAAAAAATTGGGATTCGAGGAACAAAACGGTGTTCAACAAAAGCAACCAAACAAACATTCAATGAACATTGGGTGTGCAAAACTGGATTTGGCCCTGTAAACTATATACTTCTTTTATTTCTATATATAAAAATACTTTTAATTAAATCTCACATATTAATAAAAATTTATTATTTAATCACTCACATAGAAATATAATAATTTTTTATTTAAATTTTAATAATGTCATAATTAATATGATGATGGTAGTAAAAAAAATATAATTATTTATTTATTTTATTTTTCAAGATAAAAGTAAAATTATTTAATTATTTAAAAATATAATTCTCATCACTTATATTTAAAAATAAAAAAATTTTAAAAAAATATTTTATATATAGAGGTAGAGAAAGTATATTACTAGTCTCTAAGCATTAAGATTCTTCTCTAAAAATTCATCTATACATATATTACCAAACTTTAATTTTAGGGTATCAATGAGAGTAATATTTTCAGTTGATAATTAGAGAGGCTTTTGTAAATTAAATTAAATTTGAGAAAGAAGACGTATTTACTAGTTATTGAGCACAAATGACCTCACAAAGTCGTCATTGATATGCATGAGTGATGATGATGGATAAGCCTGATCTCCCCAAATGGGAAGAGAAAACCAATTAATCTAAATCCCAAACATTTGAGCATCTGTTTGTGGGTCAATTTTCTAAAGATAACAAAAGGAAAAAAAAAATAATAATCATGCTTTGGATGATCCAACAAAAGTACTTTGATTTGTCCCATCAATTCAATTCTGAGTGCTTCCCAAGTATAAATATAAAGATATCGATTGATGATACAACGTGCATGAGTGCGAGGTTGTGTGTAAAAAGATTATCTTTTTTCAAAAAGAAAACTCTCTTCACACCGAAAGTTGAAATTACTCCTTGTCGCTTTTAAGAAGAAATACTTCGCGTTTGCCAAAAAACATATAAGAATTCAGATTAAAATTTTCTAAATAAAAAATCACTATTAAGTTTTTTTTTACGTCCATATAATTAGAAAAAGCAATGGAAACAAAAGAACCGAAAAAAAAATACTTGTTTCTTCTACTAAGGACAAGAAGAAACCAAAATATTCTTTTATTATGGGTGACTTCACCCATAAAATATTCCTTTAATTTGTCCAATCATTTAAATTGGGAGGAGAGTTTATTAAATAATACTCCCTCCAATTTACTTTATTAATTACTTTGTAAAAAGGTAAAGTAATTTACTTTATAAGTCATTGAATTAATAGTAATATTTTATTTTAAATAAAATATCTAAATTATTTTTAAAAAATAAAAGAAAGAAATAAAAAAATATATTATATAGTTTATTTAATTTTTGAGAGTTATGTTTGTAATTTTATTAAATTTTATTATTTGCACTTCTATTGTATTGATATTAATGAAATTAATAAAAATAATTTATAAATAACATTGAAGGAAGTATAATCTACGAAGGAGGGAGAAGTATATTCCTTCTTTTATATATATATATAAAAGACACTTCTTGAATAAATTGATGGTTTTTTTTCTTTGTAAAAGTGTGAATTATTAATCATTTTATTCTAATTTTATTCTTTTATATGAGTATAGTAAAATGTTATGTATGGGAGATAAATTGTTTTTAAAATGATAAATTTAATAAGAATGAGTTGATAAATTTATTTTATTTTTTATTTTCAGAATATCAATCATTTAATTAGAGTATATCTTTTTTAGTTTTGATAAGGTAAATTAAAATTGATTTGTATATATAGAATCGGTAGAAAGTGTATTCAATAATTATGGAAAAATTTAATGAGAAAGACAAAGTAGATTTTGATTTTATATTTAAAATGTAAATATATCCACCAATCAGCTTCTGTACTTAAAACAAGGAGGAATAAAACTTTTCAATTGCTTCAATAACAATGTCTCTCCTAGAAAGAAATGAATCTTGAACACTGTCTTTCATATTATTATTATTTTTTTTGTCTTTGGAATTTGCATAAAATTTGAGATCTGTGTGTCAATAAATAAATTCAAAAATATCTTTTATTATTTAATTAGATGATCAAACTTTTTAGATACTTAATAAATTGCCGTGTCTCTCTTTTTAATTATTTCTTCTAGGGACAGAATTGTGATTACATCCAGGGACACAAAGGTGGAAGATCCAATAAAAAAAAAATATAATGTTTAACTGTTTATATATATATATATATATATATTTAAAAGTAGTAGCACGTCCCTCGAAGAGGAATCAAATTACAATACAACTATTGTATCTCTGGCCAAGGGAAGAAACAAACAAGGACGCATACACTCAGTGTGTGTGTGTCATATTTTGTTTCATTGGATCTTATAATAAGGTGGTTGAAGAAAAAGTCACTGTTTTTACCTTTATTGACATGCTCAATATGCTTCTCAAACTTCCAAAACTCAGAGATAAGAGAGGGACCAGTGGGGGCGAACAGTATATAATAGTTTAAGTGACATGCATGTCATGCGTTTCTGAATTAAAAAGAAAATTCTACATGTATACATGAGCTAGCTGGTTAAAAATAAATATATATCAATATATGATAAATTCTTAAATCAAGAAAATCATTTGACATAAAATTGCAGAAGGAAAAATAACTCTAGAGAGCAAGATTGAATTTTATTATTATTTAAAAATAACTATTAATTAGTAGTGATTATATTAGCATAAAAATATTTAAAAATGAATAACATTCTTCTTACCCAACATAGACAAGTTCAAGGATATTATATCTAAAAAAATTTAGACATTAATAAAAGTATACTATTCTGATTACATTTATAAGGTATCTTTACAAAAACAAAAAGTAATCTTAATTATAAGGTGTAAAAAAAAAAGATGAAATAATCTTTCAATTTTATCCTTTAATTTAAGAAAAAATTTGCACAAATAACAATGTACTAACTCATTGACTTCTTTTAATTAATGAGGTTATAATTAAAAAGTTGGGACTTTTTTTACATATAAAACAACCCAATAATTTTTTTAAAATTACGTAAAAAATGTTTCAAATGTCTTAGGAAAATATTGTAAAAGGGACTAATCTTTTTCAATGACAAAAATTGGCATGTTATATGATTCTGAGAGACACAAAAAACATTATCAATGGGGAGAATATCATTCAGGGCCCATATTAGATACATAATAATATGAAAGGTCCTAGGGCCTTAACTAAAATTGTGTTTTGAAGTTCAATTACTTAAATGCCTTTAATTTTTTTTTTTATTAGAAGAATACAAATATGTCATTGTCACCACCATTGTCGCCCGCCAGAGCCCTACCATTGGCAAGATGACCTCTATTGCCAATGGCTAGATTGTTACCATCGGCAACGACTGCTAAAGCTTTGATACCTGTGAAATGTGGACCTCAAAGGAGTTGATCATGCTTGACCATCTTGTCAGCATTAATCGATCAAGGGCATTTAAGTAATTCAACCAGAAAATATAATTTTAAATTCCAATCGAAGGCTCTATGGCCTTTCATGCTATTATGCGTCTAAAATGGTTCTGGAATGATACTTATCCGTTACATCAATTTGTTTAGGGTCAAGCACTCAATTAGAGAGAGAGAGAGAGAGAGAGAGAGAGAGAGAGATTAGTGCTTAGGCCTAGAGTAGGGTTGGGGAAGAGTGAAGTGAGAAGCGGGAGTGAGAGAAGCAGAGAGGTGAGAGGTGAGAGGTGAGAGTATAAATAAAGAAGTAGGTAGGTAGGGAATGCAGAGTTAACTGGAATGAATCAAATGAAATGGCATTCACAGCAGAGAGGTGCGGCGATGAGACAGAGAAGATGACGATGGTGTTCAGTGTGGTGCAGGAGGAGAGGTCGGCGGTGCCGGCACCGTTCCTGACGAAGACATATCAGCTGGTGGACGACCCTCTCACCGACCACATTGTGTCTTGGGGCTCCGATGAGTCCAGTTTCGTGGTTTGGAGACCCCCCGAGTTTGCCAGAGACCTCCTTCCCAACTACTTCAAGCACAACAACTTCTCCAGCTTCGTTCGCCAGCTCAATACCTACGTATCTCTCTCTCTCTCTATACACACACACACACACACCTTCCTGATCACCTTCTCTCTCTGTCTGTCTGTAAGTGTTTGTGTTTCTTACAGCTCCATTGTTGTTCTATACATATACATATACATACAAACACCTTCTTTCACCTTCTCTATCTCTGTGTGTCTGTGTATCTGTGTTTCTTACAGCTCCATTGTTGTTCACCTTTAGCTGCATTAATATTTTATTCCTGGTCTTTCATTTTTAAAAAGAAAAAACAACAAATTATTCATCACTATCACACTGTTTAGAAGTTGTTAGGGTGTGTAAATAGATTTGAGCTCGATCTTCATTTTTTTAAAAAAGCCAAAAACACAAATTATCCATCAGACTATACTGTTTGGAAGTTGTTAGGACTTAGGATGTTCAAGATGAGTGGATTTGAGCTGAAACAAGAGAACCCTTACATTGGATTAAAAAACATTGGATTTGATAAATAATATATAATAAAGTGGAAGAACCCATCGTTTAAACTGATTTGTCTTATTTTTAAATGTTTGATATGATAGAAGAAAATGTCTATATATTGGATGAATGTTGTTATTGCAGGGCTTCAAGAAGGTAGTAGCAGATAGGTGGGAATTTGCAAATGAGTACTTCAGAAAAGGAGCTAAGCATCTTCTTTGTGAAATCCACAGAAGAAAAAGCCCTCACCACCACCACCATTACCAACATCTCCATGATCAGCCGCCGCCGCCGCAAGATCATCAAGGTCTCTATTGGAACACAGAAATCTCTCCAACATTAATCCCACCTTCTCCCACCAAACCTGCAACAAGAATATCAGGATCCTCAGGAGCCACTCATGAAGTTCTAAGAGCACTTTCAGAAGACAACCAGAGACTGAGAAGGAAGAACTTGATGCTTCTATCAGAACTCACTCACATGAAGAGTCTCTACAATGATATCATCTATTTCATCCAGAACCATGTCAAACCAGTTGATAATAACAATGATCTTCCCTTTGAGAAAATAATTAGAGGCAGATCAATATGCAGAAGTAGTGATAATGATCATCACAATAATCCCAAGCTGGTTGAATTGGATTCGTCTGTGTCACTTGATCAGCCTCAAACTGACTATTATGCTAAGATTATGGATAATTCATCATCAGGTGGTTCTGTGAAGCTATTTGGGGTTCCACTTATAAGTAGCAGAAAGAGGTTGCATGAGGAAAATATGGATGAAGAAGAATTTGTTGAGTGTGTTAATTAAGATATTATTTTTGAGGATTACTACATTATTGGTTTTTTTTTTTTTTTTGGGTAGATGGGAGAGGCTCTGATTAATTATTTTGGTTTGATGAGAGACTCAGTCTACTTAGCTGTTTATGTGTACAGCAATATTCTGGCAGTGCTTGAAGAGAAATGTTTGATGAGATTACAGACTTGCTCATTGATTATTCCGGTTATAGATAGAATCACTAATTATGGCATCTTTGTTTTGTTTTTTTTTTTCTATTTTTTTAACGAACTTTTCGGATTATAGAAATTTTCCTTAGCTATTTTGATCATCAATTCGAATGAAGTAATTGATTTTATGAAGAGATAGACAGAACTGTTCTGATACAGAGGTATTTTATCACAAAGAGCCAATTTCCTGCTTTCACAATCTAGCTTTGATATGGATATCACAAGTTAGTTGGTAGAAAGTGACTACTGAGAGCAACTATCCGCAGATTTGTAATTTCGTTTCATTATGTTAATATAATTGCTCTTTTATCCCAAAAAAAAAAAATAAAGAAAGAAAGAAGGGAGAGCACTTATCCAAGAATAAGGATAAAAATAAATACGCAATAAATAATGGAATCACATCATATTTTAACTTAAAATCTTAGAATTTAAATTTATAAATCATTTATTTTATTATATATTAGGCATTAAATTTAACTTAATATCGACTTAAATCTACTTATGCTTGACCAACTTATCAGCTGAAGAGATTCATTTTATTGGTGTTATTCCATTTTATTTCATGTAATTATCGAAAAAGTGAGATAAATTACTCATCTGGTTCTGTTTATAAAGTAAAAAAAGTATTTATTTTGATCTTATTTATAAAGCATCTGAATAATTATTATACTTATCTTTCCCCTTTTGCCCCTATTGAATGTTAGAAAAATTATTAAATCCTATATTATTTTATTTTTAAAGTATATATGTACATTTAAAAGAGGTAAAGATAGAAACTTGTCAAAATTTTAAACAAAATTAAGAAGGTTTAGAATTTTTCTTAGTTGTAGTGAAAATGTTAGAAGTGATTTATAAATAGAATTAAAGAAAAAATATTATTAATGACTTGTGTATTTTCCCTATGGGAAGCATTATCTTGAAAATGTGAGGTTTCAAGTTACACATTGGGCAGAGTTGTATGTTTGTGTGTAAACAAACATTAATCTGGACAACTTTATTATACCACTAATGTTAAACAATTTAATTTTTTAAAAATATGAGATATCTTCTAAAAATTATACTTGTTTTAAAATATAAGACATTGATAAGTCTTTATAATTATTTTTTCAATCATACCATTTATTTATTATTACTTTTAAAAATGATACATTAGAATTCTAACTATTATTATTCAGACACTTATGTAGTATGTTTAATGAAAATATAATTAAAAAGATATAATTTTTGTAAGAAATTAAGATATCAACTAGTTTTTTAAAAATCTGAAATAGTTATTAATAATTTATATTGGTAACAGCAGTAAGTATACAACAAAACTAATTTAAAAAAAAAAAAACCATCGTGATACACATGCAAGCACTTTGAGTTTTATGTCATTCATCGCCAATAATGAATGGAAAGAGAACAAAAAAGAAGCAATGAAAAAGATGAGAAGGACACAATATTAAAGTAAGAGACATTACATTCCGAGGAACATGCAAATGTGACTGAAAGTAACATATGGTCATGATCATTTCACACGGTATCCATTATTACATCTATCTCTATGGAATCTTAAGCATATTATTTTACATTTTTCCCATGAAAAGGATACAAAAAATAAAAGCACTTATCCTTTCAAAAAAGATAAAAAGCAATTACAAGCATGCAGTGTGAAGGAATGTGCGTTAAATTCTCAGCAAAAGGGGGAAATGTTTCTTTTGGCTAAAAAAGAAAGCCTTGGATTGTAATATTATATTAATTTGTTGAATTTCTGCCTTCCATACCTCCTTTTCTGTTTAGCTTTTTCTTTCTTATGTGTGTGGTTTCAATGGACCAATTTGTCGAAACAAAATCAATAAATCAATAAATAAATCAAAAAAGCATATATAAAAAGCTTACTTTTTGTATACAAAGCTGCCCCTGCAAATTAGGGCATTACCATTTTATTAATTATGTTGAGAATCACACACTCTCACATAAAACTAATATTATTTAAAAACCTTAACTACTTATATCTTGAAACAAAATCTATTAGAGTAAAATCTAGTAAAAGGAATTAATCTCTCACACTTTCATAAATTAAAATTTAAATTTTTATTGAGAGATATTCATATTTAGTATTTGATAGTGTCTCAAACAAGACTCTCTCTATTAAGAGAACATTTGTATGCAATAAAAAAAAATCACTCACACCCATTTTTTTATGTTTCAATTAAATTTTCATCACTTGACTTATCCTCACTTGTACACAATTATTATTATTATTTTGTTTCCCTCTCATCCTTATTATATGGTACCTTTTAGAAGTTTGATCCTTAATATAAGGCACATGAAGGGTTATTTATTTTCATTTTCAATTTTATCCCTGCTATAAATTTATTTTTATGGCTCATTGTATACTGTATATCTCTTTTTCTATTTTTAATTGGGATAAATTTTTAAAAATTTTATTTTAAAATTTATTTAATAAATTTGATAAAGTAATTGAAAGCACAGTGGAGAAATATTGCTTGTTAACACATTGGAAGAAGGATTTGTCATACAGTTACTGCATTATCTCTTTGACACGAGGCCCAATGATTGAGCCCAATGAGAATGCCACCTAGTAAAGTTCAGTAAAGAAAAAGATAACTAAAGTTTTCCAAATTAATGCATTGGGATTGTAATATTGCATTAATTTGTTGAAAATTTGCCTCCCATATATTCTTGTCGAGTCAGCTCTTTTCTTATGTGATTTGTTGATGTGATATTCCACGAAGCAATTCGTTGAAGGCTGAAGCAGCAGAAAGTGGGGGAATATATCAAAAGCATATATAACATTTTTGGTGTGCGTGTGTTTAAAGCTGAACCACCCAATTACAGCATTTGCTATAGTATTATGCTAACACACACTCACACATGAACCCTTTTGAGAAAAGAAGATTCTCTATTGATGATTCAGATTGTTTGAGATTAAAAAAAAAAAATTAGTTAAGTTAAAATTTGAGTTGTTAGGAGAAATTAAGCCAATCTCAGAGGTTTTGTTGAGAAAAAAAATTATTTTTATCTTTTTTTATAAATTATTCTAGATAGCTTATCAAAATAAGTTTTTTTTCAACAATTCCCCAATCTCTCAACAACTTTTTTCTTGTTTAGCCTAACTAATTTTTTTATAAAAAATTAAATAAACTAGCCCTAAATTTGATACAAATCAAGAAAAGTATTATCTATTCAACCTAACAACTTTTCCTTCGAACAAAACATGCACATAATTTTTTTACACTAAAAGAACTTTGATCATTACTTATAAAAAAAAATTAATCCATTCATAGTTAAAGATGTTTCATGAAAAGATGCAAGAAAAAGTTGACGAACTGATTGCAATGTTGAGTTCTTCAACAATAGTGATAACATGTACTTTATTTTTCTTCTCTTTGATTAGGATTTACATTGACCAGTCGTATTGCCAGTCCTAAGTATAGTAAATTATATTGGGATGATAAAGTGATATTATTTGTTTGTTGTCACGTTCACTTAAGGCATAAGAAAGAAGATTTGTAGAGACTTGATCAAAGGCCTGGATCATGATAATTTTTTTAAAGTATCATACTTAAAAATATAACATATTGTGGACCTTTTAATATACAATTAATAAGGTTTAAAAAACTCATAATTAGGAGTGTGATTAATAATATTTTATAATTGAGATACCCTATTAAATAAAGATAAATATAAAAAGACAGTATAATTTTAAAAATAATTAACTAACTCATTAATGTGTATAATTCATTTAAAAGTGTTTCATAATACTAAATTGGGTAATTACATAACAAAACCAATTCATATATACAATAAGGAAAAAGATTGCACCAAATCAAATCCTCATATCATCTCATACAATATTCATATGTTATAAGGTGTTTTTGTTATAGCTATCACCGCTATGTTTTTGCACTTACAAGGACAAGTTTTCATTGTTCAATAGTACAATATCAAAAGATTTGATTGTTAAAAATACAATAATGTTATAAATTTATATAATCGACTCCACTTGATAAGATAAAACTTATTTGTTTGTTGTTATTGTTTGATGTTGGTATATTCTAGTGTGGGTTTGTGTGAAAGGTTTACCAATTAATGAGTAATTACTTTCATGATACTGCTCACTAGTTGAGACAAAAATTGGATCCAACAAGAGCACATAAGCCTTTTGATCTAATGTTTCATTTGCTTCTAAAATTGTATTACAAAATGTTTAATTTCCACTGAGAACCCACAGATTTTGCCACAGATAAACATCAAACCATCTAACGAAGCTCGAAGAGTCTGCATTATATGGCAATGTTTACCTTTAGTTCACTGGGGTTCTTGAGTTGTGTTTTTTTTTTTTTTAAATGTGTTGTGGTTCTATTTTTCGCTTATCTTTCATGTTTAAGGGGTTGTCATGTTGCTTAATGTTTTCCTTGATGTTTATGTAACCTTGTGCTTTATGCACTCGTTTCTATTATTTTAATGTACTTGACCTTTTATTAAAAAAAGGTATTGAACCTTGAAAAAGAAAGAAAGAAAGAAAGAAAGAAGATTGTTTATAAAAAATCTCAACTGAAATAAATGTGTCAGTCTCTTAAGAAGTCTTGTTTTAATTAACAAGATCAAAGAATAATAATATGTAGGCAAAGTATCTGCAAAGCTATCTTTTGGAATTCAGTGGTATAACTTTCTTTCTCTCTCCATTATTATTATTATTATTATTATTATTTGGTTGGGCCGAAGTGGTGTAACTTTCTGAGTGAAAATAATAATTATGATTTTAATGACAAAATATTTAGCAATGAATGATAAAAATGGAGTAAGAAATAATAAGTTAAAAAAAAACACGTGTGAAATATAGAATGCACTACTCCCATCCTTAATAATAGACGAAATTAACAAACTTTACGCTTATTAAGAAATGTTAATTATAACCTTAAAATTATAAAAAGAAATTATAACATTTCATTTTTACCCTTATTTGCAACTAATGATAGTAATAAATTGTTGTTTAGGAATTCAAATAAAAAATAATAAATAAAGACTAAAATTGAAAAAAAAATTATTAATTGTTCTGACTTCATCTTATATTTAAGACTTAAAAAACTTT